TTGAAGTTGTTGCATTTATTGACATTGGTGCGGATTTAAATTGCATACAGGAAGAGTTTATACCAACAAACTATTACTATAAAATAAATAAAAAGTTAAGTTCAGCTAATGGTAGTAAAATGAGTACAAAATACAAGCTACCAAAAGTACAACTTTGTCAAGACAATATATGCTTTAAAATATCATTTGTGTAATCCTTATTCCCCCAATAGTTAATCTTTAATGAAAAGGATTAAACAATAATAAATAACTAACTGGTCTTAACTTGTAAGAATACAAAGTACAATTAAGTGAAAATTAACTTACAAATAGATAGCTGGGGGATATTCTTCATTTGCAACATATGAAGAAATGTTTACAATGGGGGAAGTGATGGCTATTATGGCCTTCATTATTCCTCCTTGCTACAAATGCCTGAAATCCTTATATAGGCGAACAAATTTTTCAAGAGAATCTGTTGAATGATTTCTCATTTGACTGGGTAATTGCTTTTTTTTTTTTTTTTGATTTACTTTAATGAAATGGGTTTTACCCTCGCATTTTGGTGGGATTCACTGGAGTAAACTGCATTTACTTAGGTGAATGCTAACTTTGCTGATAAGTGGGTTGGATGCTTTTGCTTTTGCTTTTGCTGATTTACTTTAGTGAAATGATTTTCACTCTAACCTTTTTGTGGAAAAGAGTCTTGACGAAATGTTTTTTTTGGCCATGATTCATAAAGAGAGAGTTTTTCTTTCTTTCGAGGGAAAAAGTATTGATTGAAGCTCTTTATTCACATGGATGTAGGACTTGAATGATAGGCCAGATGAATTATGGATTAGATAGATCATAGGCATTATCTAGGTCCTGGGCATCCAAGAATAGATCTTGCGGGTGACTAATAGAGGTTTCTGATGAGTGGAAGAAGCATCATCATCTTGAATAACTTGTTGGAGTAACTGTTGCTCTAGCTCAATTAACTGAGATTTCTTTTTCTAAGACTTACTGGAGATCTTGGAAGAAACTGTGGATTATTTTATTACAGGTGGTTGTGCTGGATGGACAGGAGTTGAAACTCTGAGAACTAGAGCTGTCAGTTTAACCATGAGTGGAACAACAGGTTTACCGGTGGCTGTACTTGTAATTGGAGTGGGAACTGTAACTAGAAATTCCGTTATAACTTGGTCAATGATGCAATGGTGCTCAGACTTTGCTCATCATTTGACGTAGAATTGGCGAATAACTATGTTAGTAGAAATAGACTACTGCCATTTGAGGATCCATGGAACCTTGTATTTACTCATAAATAGGAGCAATATAGGGAACTGTGAGTCATGTTGAATAACTTTAAAAGTAAAGGAGAAATAAGTAACTTGATTTTGGAGATCAAAAGGAAGAATTTCGAGCATCAGGCCATGTTGTTTCCACCATCGCAAAAGCCATGAAGGAATCTANTTGATTTTGGAGATCAAAAGGAAGAATTTCGAGCATCAGGCCATGTTGTTTCCACCACCGCAAAAGCCGTGAAGGAATCTAACTCTTGAAATTCTTTGTAGAGAAACAATTTAAACCATGACTCAATGTAGTCATAATAACTAAATTGCTTGGTATCACTAGAAAGATCTCGAAGAACATAAAGGTGAGATCCCTAGTCTTTTACTGAGATAAACTTGAGAATATAAAGAGAATGATAAACTATTTTACTAGCATCTTTTTTATCATTAACAGGTTTTATAAAGATTGACTCTGTGTGAAACAGGATGTCATGGTAGAACTGGAAATTTTTTACTAGATCTAGTGGAATGAAATTCCAACCTGGTTCAAGGTAGGCATCAAATATATATATTACAATAGAAAATCGAAAATTAGTGTATGCATATTGCAATAGACTGAATTGGTCCCTTAATTATAAAATTTATAAACAAATAGGTCTTTGTTCCAATGGTACTACTTACCTTGTAAAGGTTTTACCTTCTTGAGATCAAGAGTTCAAACTTCCTTCTCTCCCCCTCTTCCAAAAAAAAAAAAATTGAATTTAGGACACCATTTATTAGGTTGTCTATTTGGTAATTTGCACCTTATTTTAGTATTATAGTTAAGAACTTTTAAGTCAATTTACATACACTTCAACTAATTCTCTCTTTAGTATAATAAAAAATAAATCATCTATGCTAAGTAAGTTTTGAAGTTAGAACGTCTAAGCTTACACTTAATCCCTCTCCACTAAACTATATCTTACATTAGCTATGAAAGACTATTGCCCATGCCAAAATATAGTAAGTAACCATTATTGTCTTCGACTCCCACAGTCAAAAGACCATGAGTTAAATCTTGTCAAAATCAATAACTAATTTTTCATGTCTCTTCTTGTGAGGGTTTTTTTTTTTTGATATCGTAACAATGATTTATTTATGTGGTTACAATAGTTAGACATTACATTGATTGATGAGAGATTAACTATATGGTAAAAAAAACTATACATATATATATATATATATATATATATATATATATATGAGTCGAACAAAATATACAACAAATTATAAGTACAACAGACTAAAATATATGGCAGTTAATCAATTTCAATATGGTATCTATTTTTTTAAGGAGCTGTAGCATATCTTACAAGTAGATATGGTTTCATTTGAACTCTAACCTTATCATCTGTTTAGTTTTGTGGAAAAATAAATGAATGAAAAATGACATTTTTCTTTATTGCGTACGTAAGAAAAATTGAGAAAAAATGAAAAGCGGGTGAAAAATATATCCTTTTTGCTCACCATTTTTAATCGCTCCAAAAATGGACGGAAAGTGAATGGAAGGAGGCAGCTCATGCAAAAGTTCCTTAAAAAGACCATTTTAACCCTAGAGAGGCAGATGTTTTTTTATGTACCGAACCAAATTAATGGGGTCCGCAACACAATCATTTGTCTGTTGAAAGTTACCGTAAATATCTTTTATATATAGAAGTGTACTTATGATTATTCTTTAATATATTTTTACTCATTTATTTTCTCAGATGATATAAAATAATTAAAAAATATACATTTTTTTTCTTTAAATGCTAAAGAGTGTATTCATCATAATTTTCATTCGTTGTTTTTTATCTTTCATATTGTATGTTCATCAATTTTAATTATTATTTTAAATTAGACAATATGTAACTGTTAATTTAAAAAATAATAAATTATTGAAAAAAATTGTAGAAAGACAGTCCAGCACAGTAGGACCTACACGAAGTCTGCAGTGTGAAATGACAGAGAGGTATCACGGACGGAATCGCATCGAAAACACCCCCTCCCTCGGGAAATTCAACACTCTCTCTATCTCTCTCTCTCTCTGACTATCGGTCCCCACCCTTCATGAGCATGAGTATCGAGTATTGACTAGAAGCTCAATTTGGGTCCAACTTTAATTATGCTGTAATCATTCTATTGTATACCCTCATCTGAACAAACGGACTAGGACCATAGAGGTGGCTTACTTTTTTTTTTCAACCCATTTCGATTTCGAAACCAATCCCATCATCCACTTTCTAGCATGTTTTTCCTGCCAGGTTTTCTCACTATATTTTACTAATAAATTCTCATGCTCTATTTATCTGAGACAACCCCATTTCTATTACAATTACGTTAACTAATATTATCAAGTCGATAAATTAACAACATTTGATAAGAGCCTCTAACAATTGTATCGATTTCTCCTACTGTCCCATTCAAACTTTTGCACATTCACATTTACCCTTCTAAAAACTAGTTCAGGTGTAGTTTGTCCCCGTTAGACCAATTATGGGATACATCATCTTCTCGTAGATAATGTTTGTTTCTGTTATGTACTTATTTTCTATACATTTATTTTATGTAATATTAAAGGTAATTAGTTAGTTAATTGGAGAATATGTCATAGTGAGTTAGTGTAAAGTATTTTGTGAGGAATTTTCTAGGCAGTTATTAAGATAATAGAGGCATGAGTTAGATTAGCTATTAAGGTAATTTTTTATCAACTTATATTTAAAGGGTTTTATTATCAGTAGAAATAATATGTTGAATATTATATTAAATTTTCTTGTGAAGTTTTCAAAATAGGTTATTCTCGAATTGAGTCATTGAAAGTTTTCATCCCCTACGNATATTATATTAAATTTTCTTGTGAAGTTTTCAAAATAGGTTATTCTCGAATTGAGTCATTGAAAGTTTTCATCCCCTACGAAACTAGTTTTTTTCCTTAATTTTATTTTTTATTTGTTTTATAAATCACTCAAAATTGTGCAGGTAACAATTTCTTTTTTATTTAAATTAATTGAGCTATTTTTGTTGTATTTCAAATATGTGAAAACAATGTGTAATATTATTTGAGATTTAAAAATTTGATATAATTTATTGATATAATAATATCTTATATGATAAAATTTAAATAAAAAAATTGATATTTATAATTATATACTAACACTATTAAATTATATTATTATCACATCATTAAATTATTTATTACTAGAAGACAATTGTCACTTTCACAATGAAAACCACTGTCCCCGTACAAAAACACCTCATTTTCTGTGTTCAATCTACCAAAATAAACATTTTTACAATCACTTCATCTTAGCCAAAACATTTTAAAAAAACTTAACCAAAACACTGAGACATGTATAGAATGCACTTTATTGATTGATATTTGAAAACCCAATTAAGGTGTGAATTAAAAAAAAAAAAATTGGGGTATATAATAAATATAGGATGGCATTGTTTTATTTCTTTAGGCTATAAGTGACTATTTTTAATTCTTTGGTCTTGATAATTGAAATTTGAGCTCGAAAAGCTACAAATTACACAATAATCTACACATTCTACTAACAAGCAGCATACAGCCAATGCATACATACAAAACACATATAACACTGTTTTAGAGAGGAGAGAGAAAGATGGTGGCCCAGCAGCTAAATCTATGGCTCACCCACCGACTTTGAAAATATGGGTAAGATAAAGGAGAAAGGATGTGGAAGAGTAAGCTTGTGAGAGAGAGAAAGAAAGGGGTGGTTAGAAAAAGAGATGAAATATTCTCTTTAGCTCTCATAGTTTTTGGTCTTTTCTTTTGAAATCAAACAAAGGTCTCGCACCAGATCTCTGTAACAAGAGTCCGAAGTCTCTTAGATCATAGTTATTTTGGTCTTTTAGGATCCATATGTGTCCGTGTTTTTCTTGTTCTTTTGGCAAAATCTGATAGTTCTGAGATTTGAATACTACCAAGAGTTATCTGTTTGTGTTTGGAGAAACTCTTGGTTGTTTTTGTTTTCTACTGTTTTTGCTTTCAAACAGCTACTTGTTTCCTTACTATCAAAATCAATAACAACAAAGTTTGAGTTCAGATGCAGATGATGTCTGGTGATTTGTTTTCGGTTTCGCCATCAATCAAAGGGTTTGTTCCAGAATCAGATGCGAACCCTAACCCTAAACCTGACACAAACCCATCTGCAAAGAAGAAGAGAAATCTACCAGGAACACCAGGTTCTTCATTTTTCAACCTAATAATTCATTAAGGAACTGTACTGTTTGGTTTTCTTCTTTCCTAATTGTTCGTCTTCAATGATTCTTTTCTGTTTTTGTCTGTTTTCACAGATCCAGATGCTGAAGTTATTGCACTTTCACCGAAGACACTTATGGCGACAAACAGATTCATCTGCGAAATCTGCAACAAGGGATTCCAAAGAGACCAAAACTTACAGCTGCACCGAAGAGGTCACAACCTTCCATGGAAGCTCAAGCAAAGGACTAACAAAGATCAGGTCAGAAAGAAGGTGTACATATGCCCAGAAAAGACTTGTGTACACCACGACCCATCTCGAGCCCTCGGTGACCTCACCGGAGTTAAAAAGCATTTCAGCCGAAAACATGGTGAGAAGAAGTGGAAGTGTGAGAAGTGTTCGAAGAAATACGCTGTTCAATCTGACTGGAAAGCTCATTCTAAGACCTGTGGAACTAGAGAGTACAAATGTGACTGTGGCACACTCTTTTCCAGGTATTTTAATTCTCTCACAATAAATGTTCTTGTTCCTAGATATAAATGCACATGTAGAATCTCTTATGAATTTAATGTTATACCAACTCATTAGAAGGTAATATAAGTGTTATTCTCAACTGGGGCTTCATCAATTTGCACAGGAAAGACAGTTTCATCACACACAGAGCTTTCTGTGATGCCTTAGCTGAAGAGAGTGCCAGATTCACATCTGTTGCTGCTGACAATTTCAACTTCAGGAATGGGCCTTTAAGTGAAACTCTGATTAATCAGCCAAATTTGCCTCATGGGTTCGCCGGAGCTGCCGGAATTTCCCAACTTGCTGCAGCATTTCGGCCGGAGTCTGGTGGCATGGCCACCGGAAATGTTCTAATCGGAGATCAGCAGAAGCCCAGATTGTCTCTATGGTTGGATCAAGCAAATTCTCAGCTTAATCTTGTTGATATGGCCACAAATTCAAATCTTTACATGCCCACAAGTTCTACTGGCTTAAATGATATGGTGCAAATGCCATCTGCGAACCTCTTTGGCTCACCTTCAATGGCTAATTATGGTAACTGCAACCAGTCGCAGTGGTTTGACAAGAATCCGGCGACTTCTACTGATGCAAGTCTCTCATTATCGCCTTTACCACAAGGATTAAAGGATGAGAAAACCCTAAGTAATTCTTTCTACTCTGATAATCAAAATCACCAGTCAAAATCATCATCGCCAATGTCGGCCACTGCGCTTCTCCAGAAGGCGGCACAGATGGGTTCTACCAGAAGCAACCCATCATTCTTTGGCAATAGTTTTGGGGTTATGAACTCTTCTTCTTCTTCTTCCAACACACCTGCTTTTAATCCCCTCTCTCAAAACAGAAATGGATTGCCAATGAGTGCATCGACGAGTGCAACTCAGAACAGTCTTGATCAAGTTATAATGCAAACTGGTGTCTCACAAAACGAATCAGTTCCATTGAAGTTGCATCAAGGTGGTCTAACAAGAGATTTTCTTGGCATGGGAGGTGAAGGTGGTCGTCAGTTCTTGCCTCAGGAGCTAGCAAAGTTTGCTTCAATGGGTTCAGCCATGGGTTTGAGCCATTTTAATAGCAACCAGTGAATTTGTGGCCTCTCTTCACACACACTTCACAGCCTTTGTATAATATTACACTATCCAAACTTGCCAAGTCCTTAGTTAAGTACAAATTGTGTCTGTTCCATTAGATTAAGAAGGTGGATATTATTGGCCTCAGAGAGAGGGAGAGAGAGAGGAGGGTACAGTGGAGCTGTTGAGGTCCCATGGGATGTCGGAAGTGGACTAAACAAGGAGGTCCTCTGAGACGTTTCATTTTGTTCATTTGTTATTGTTCTTCTTCTGTTGTTCTTTATCTATGTGTCAGTTTCTCTCATCTTAATTTTTTTTTCTTTTGAGTTGTAAATTATCTTCAATGCAAGCCTCTTCTATTTTGAGATTCATAAAAACTGCAAGAATAGTTTCATTGATGGCCGGTCAAAGTAACCCGGCGTCAACGTTAGTGGGACTAGTACTAGAATTCTTAGATTTATCCATGTCAATTGTTTTAGATAAAAGCTGGTCGCTGCTGGTTTGGTTTGTCAATGGTAAACGCGTTGTGATTCACTGTTGATGATAAAGTTTCAAGTGTTGAAAATGAAAATAAGATGAAAACACAATTACATGTAAAGTCATGTGCATCACTTAATCTTGAATTTTGTGTGCTTTCGAGAATTTGAAATATGGATGTGCGAGTATATAACTCGTCCACTCCCTTGCTCGACCACAGTATTAGTAATGGTCAAAAAAAATTTCGGATTGGTATTTTTTTTTTGGGTTGAACTTTCAACATGCTATGCATTAAACAAAAAGTTTATCACCATAGATAGCCAACTTTTAGTTTTTCAAGTGGACTTTGAAAAGGGCAATGAAAGTAACTATTGACTTTTCATTCCCTAAATTTATATGAAAAGTTTTCTCTTGACTTTTGTTCTGCATAAATCTATATGAAAAATTGTAACATTTGTACCAGAAAAAGAAGATAAATAGGAGCTTTATACACCTAGGAACTAAGGCAAAATATTTGTTTTTTCCAACAAGGAACCTTGGAAACTGCCTGGTTTATTATCGATTTTATTCATCTGTCAATGCCAGATACTCTAAGAAGCAAAAGGGTATTATTCCTTTCGAGAAAAATTTGAATGAGTTTAACAGATCATGTGATATTGTCATATATTATGTATGCCCAATAGAAAATTATCGCATAACTAACTTGTGAGATAGAAAATTTGACTTTTTTAAACAAAAGTTCTGATAAAGTGATAGTCATCAATCAATCATCGAAAATGTATAATATTTTATTGATAATATACAATATTTAGCACTGTCACGTGTTGTGTTAAACTCACATAAATATTTCTCCCTTTTGACAGTGATTAGGGTGGATAAAAGTGACGCCGCTCTTAGCTTAGGGTAGTGCAGTCTCTAAGGAACCATTGTTGGCCACTCAATTTTGACTTTCTACTACAGGAGGATCTGAGTCAGATGATACTGAATTATTAGATGGCACGTTGATGGTGCTAAGATACCTTGAGTTAACAGATCAACATAGTCAGAAATCCAAATCTAAGAAGGGTTGATACTGTTTTGATTATAACTTTTGATTCGTTTGGAGTTTCAAGGCCTATAATATATTAAATCGAAACTCTCAACGAATCCTACAAGAATCACGGCCTATGGCAGTGAGAGGCATAATTTAAAGCCGAAAAAGGCATGAAAACTTGTGTTTGGGCCTTCCAAAGTTTTTTCCCAATTTTGAGTTTATTTGAATTTTTTCGTAATTTAATTATTCCTTGCGTAATTAGGGTTTTCAGCTTATTGTTTAATATTTAAAGGATGTTTTCATGTGTTTTAGGGTTAACTATCATTATTCTAATTTTATAAAAATTGTGACTACTCTGTTAGTTCTTTTTGAGCGATTCTCTTGTATTCTTCTCTGTGAATTATCTGTTGAAACTAACCTGTTGAATAATTGTTATTCTATCCGGTTTCATTTTCCAATGCACTTTTTGTAAGACCTGGGAAGTAAACTGGAAGTCCTTAAAATCAAACTATATATATAGAACCAATGAGTCATGTAGTGTAGTCCCCTCCCTCCCTAGAAAGCACAAAAAGAAGAGACCATGCATTTTGAGAGCTTAAAGAAAGGGATGAAGCTTTTTTTGGGTACTTGTCACGACCAGCTTTTTGAGGCTCGGATCGGAAGACCAGGTAGACCCCCCTGCTCTGCTCTATAAGATTTAAAGTTGTGTATCCATTTTATTAAAATAAACTCTTTCAGTTTTCAATACCATTCCTTGACCTTGTGTTTTGAAGTTTCAATCACCCCAAGGTTGCAAGGAGGATGATTAATTTAATTGCACTTCTAATTGTTGTAGTTATAGGAGAATGATTATGGTATCGAAAAATAATTTTTTGATATTGTAAATCTATAATTCAATAAAATTTAAACGAATGTGAAAGTTATTTTTATTTTATTGCTTTATATTACTTCATTATATGCACAATCAATCAAACCAATATTAATAATTCTCGTTTAATTCCGGCATGGTCCCGCATTTTTTTGTGTGGGTACCATAGTGCTATATGTAGTTATATTTCAAATCCCCTTAATAAGATAAGCTTTCATGGTGAATGGCTATGATAACAAGGCTGGCTTGACACAATTGTAGCTTAAAAGACTTAAAAGTGACAATTGGTTAACCTTTTCATTTGAAATTTATTCTATTTATTTTTGAATTTCTAATTTTTAATTAAAATTTTATATTCAAGTTTTGCATGCATATCTCTATAACTAATACATGCAATCTTTCTTCTAACTTAGATAATATTTTATTAATTTTAATTTCAAAAAATATATTTGAAACAACTATTATATGTAGGGTAAATTTTATGTGCACCTTTTATAGATAGACCTAACTTCAAGAATATTTCTTGCCTTTTTTAAACCTTCACTTACACCTTTTCTCAATATTTGTCTAATAATGAAAGTGACATAAATGTCTATTTTACCAATTTATCCCTAATCATTTTGTAAATTTACATATTAACTATTTGGAAAAATTGTATCTAAATTTCTTGAGGTTTATTACTTAATCACTTAAACTCCCTAATATTTCAAATATTACAAATAAACCCCCTAAAATTTGTTCGCGCGTAAAACTTAGACTTCTGCTTTTAATATCCGTTAGTATATCTATTAATAAATTACACCAAGACTCTTTGAAGTTTGTAGAGTATAACACTTAGACATCTCAAATTTAAATTATTATACTTAGACTCCTTGTTAGTTATAAAATTAACAAAATTTATTAAACAACCAAATTATCCGACTTAAACAGAGAAGATATTGTGTAAATTATAGTTTAACCCTTTGTTTGTTTTTTAGTTTTATGCCAATAGATAGTATAATTATATAAAAATGATTGTTGATTGAGTTCTTTGATATATTTATACTGATTACTATTTTTTCCTTAAAAATTGGAAATTTTTTGGATTTTATATCAATGAATGATATAATAGAACATACAAATGTGTTAATTAGACTTATTTTCATATATAATGTTGGAAAAATTGCCCTAATGTAAAAAGTCCATTTAGTCCAAGATGCTTCAGGTTTGCCACTCCTAACTTCTAAACGCAATTCATACATTTGAGTCACTTACTAACTTAGGCATTGGAGAGTCGAGCCTTAGAGCTCCTCTTTGGTCCCCAACATCTTTTTCAGGTGATCAAACTCCAGCAAACTGAAGTAGAGGTCATCTAAATTTTGGCATCAACAGTATCTAATTTAAAATATTTTATATTATATTTTTAATTAGAGTATTTTTGGTTTCAGTATAATATTTTAAAACTTAAGGATTCTAAGTATTATACGCTTCAAATTTTAGGAGCCTAGATGTAATTTACTAACAGAAATTAACAGCAAGGGTCTATGTGTCACGCGCGTACAAATCTCAGGGGGCCTATGGGTAATATTTCAAATGTCATGAGGTCTAGGTGATTAATCGACAAACCTCAGAAGGTCTGAATATAATTTTTTCTAATTATTTTAATAAATTTACAAATTAACTATTCTAATAAAATATATATATATGCACAAACAAACACACACAAGTAATGCATGATGTATATTGCACATGAACATATTAAACAATAAAGTATGTGTCAAATAATTAATTTTTATTTTGATTATTATTAAACCTAATTATTGATCTATTTTATCGTTCTTTGAATACCTAATCTATTATTTTTATGTCGTAAACACTGTCCATCCCAAACCACATAAAACCTCTAGACTGCCACGCCACAACCTCCACCCACATAAGCCACTCAAAAGTTGATGCCACTTTATTCGACTTTTGATAGTGTCCAATTTAGGCAGTGATTTGGGGCGCTGCCTATTTCAAATTTACGTCCATCTCTCTCTCTCTCTCTAACGTGTTTTGACTAGGTGGTAGAGGATATGCTCTGGTGTTTAGAAAAAGAAGTACGTTGATCATGCGTGTAAGACTGTAGAGTTATTGCGAAAATTGGGTTGTCACTTTTGTGATGCCTTTGGTGATGTGCTAAGTGAATAGGATTTTTATTTTTGTTTGGGTGGTGGTGATGGTGGTGGTAGCTTTAAGTCTACACGCATGGGTGGCGGGTGGGAGGAGAACTTGGAAGCCTGTAGGGGAGGAGTTTGTTGGGAAGAAGAAGGGTAAATTTGGTATGTAACCAAAATATTTGCATGACATAAACACTTTTCAGATTGTCATTCACGATCAATTAGGGTAGGAGCTCTGAATGAAGTTGAAATAAAAGACAAGTGGTGTCATTGATATTAGACCAATCTATAAGGGTGTTAATGCAATTTACACTTATATGTATTGTCAATAATATTTGGTGAACAATGTATTTAAAAAAATAATTCAATTGGACTGTTATTTTTGGTTTGTAATTTTTTTAAACTTTTTGGGGAACAAACATTTAATCCAATGATACTACTTATCTTGCGAAAACTTTAAAGTCAAGGGTTTAAATCTTTTTTCTCCTCCCAAAAAAAAACCTATGACCTTTTGACATTTTTGTGACTTTAAAGTTGAAACTTTGATTTTGATGGACTAAGATTATTGAGATTAGAATATTTTTTGCAAACTTAGATTTTTATGGAGTTTCTTTATGAAGTCTAGATTTTGTAGGTGTTAGATTATCTTAATCTGGACTATCATATAAATGCACTAGTTATTCCCCGTGTCTAGAGACACTACTTAAAAAAAATTGTATTTGAAAGCAATATATAACAAAAAAAAAAAAAAGAAAATCACCAAGCAATATAATCACACTGATATTACTGACTCAAAAACAACTTTCCTTTGTTTGAATCCCTTTTGTCATGCTTCATATGATCTTGGTTTACTCTATGTCGA